CAGGAGTGGTCCAGCCCGCCGGCGGTGGAGCGGGGACACCGGCGCAGCAGGCGGCGGCGCAAAAGCAGGCGGGCACCGAAGCAAGGCTGCCGAGCTCGCTGACCGACCTAGTGTCGTCGTTCGAGTCGGCCAAGCAAAAGTCGATGCGCCGGGACAGCAACCTGACGTCGGTGCACAAGTCGCTCGAGTCGAGCTTCATGAACGTGCCCGAGCCGCTCGACTCGGACAAGCCCAAGTACTACGTGCCCAAGAACCCGTTCCCGACGCCGGCCTACTACCCGCAGGCGCCCGCGTCGGTGTTCGACAACCCGGCGCTCTATTCCAAATTCGACGTCGAGACGCTCTTCTACATCTTCTACTACCAGCAAGGCACCTACCACCAGTACCTGGCGGCCAAGGAGCTCAAGAAGCAGAGCTGGCGCTTCCACAAGCAGTACCTCACCTGGTTCCAGCGCCACTCGGAGCCGCAGGCCATCACCGACGAGTACGAGCAGGGCGTCTACGTCTACTTTGACTGGGAGGGCTCGTGGTGCCAGCGGAAGAAGAGCGACTTCCGGTGAGTGTGCTGCCGTCTCCGCCGCCGCCGCCGCCGCCGCCAATGCCGTTGACCGCGAGGTCGCACACAGAAACTGACGAGTGCCGCGGGCCGGCGTACCCCTCCTCGCGCATCTTTTCTCTCCCCACAGATTCGAGTACCGGTGGCTCGAGGACAACTGAACACCTCGTCGTCCCGTTTGGCGCCACCCGGATCGCTGTCGATGCAGCCCGGCACCGCGACAGACCTGTAGCATTCTCCCAACGAGGCACGCCGCTCGTCGGCATTCCTCGCATCTTTCCGCGACTCGACAACGGCGACTCGCTCGGCCGGCGTGCGGCCAAGCCTGCTTCCTCTACGTCGAGCAAGAAGCGGCACCACCACCGCGCGCCGGCCGACATCAAGCCGTTTGTAATCGTATCCCGTTCCTTGGCCTTCACGGTGAAATCACGCCTCCCTTTACCCATCGCCGGTCGTCATCGCTGTCGTTGTTGTCGACGTCGCCTTCCCACGTTCCCGTCCTTTGACCTGGGATTCTTCGGGAGTCTGCTTCCGAAGGGTTCGCCGCGGCATCGATGGGCGGCCCATTGATCAGGTGAGGTGTAGAGACCGTGCCGACTTCCCTGGCCCGCCTCGACGCGCCCGCGTGACTCTGTTGAGGGGCGCTGTGATGCTAGGCCCGATTATAGACCCAACTAGGGGAGAGGAGACCGCCTGCATCCATACTAGACGCGCAGCGTTGGCAAGCAAGCACGGCCCGCCTGGCGGTGCCGCGGTCCGTCGTCTGCGGCACCGCCTTTGGATCGTTGCATAGGCCTTTGCAGGCTTCATCTGTATCACCGCACCATGGTCGGATGTCTCGGAGCCTTTGATCCGGGACTTTGTTGAAGCTGATCTCGCCTTCACGGAGCGGCGACCCGATGGTGCAAAATGAGCAAGATGGTCAAGCTCCCGACATCCTCACTTCTCGGGACGGCTACTGGACTTTCATTGGGCGTCGAGGATGACTGACATCCGACCCTCGATCTCATCTCGTCGTCGTCCTCACTCTGGGTACTGGGCGTAGCGTTCTCCATCTAGGCTGACCTGAACCTGAACGTGAAAGGGAGCAGTGAGTCTTGTCTGCTCAGTCCCTCGGTCTTGCTACTTCCGCACCGCCGCATACCTGAGCTCGCAGCGCAACAGATTAAAGCACCTCCGACGCATCGCAACCTTCCCCCTGCGCGGCGAAAGTTGGCGCATGGACACACACAAGCTCGACACGGTGCGTGGTGACAGATCCGAGGTGTCGGCGGGAAGAACGAGAGCCGGCAACCGCGCAGACCAAGCTAAGCTCAAGCTGTTTGGTACACATATAGCTTCAGGCGAGGGTGGCGCTATATTGCCACTCTATCCTATGCAATGCAGAAGCAAGCTCTGCGGCAGAGTGGGTTGGCCAGCGCACCCGCACGCACGTCTGTAGGGCCATGGTACGGCAGGCGGGCGGGCCGGCCGGCACCTAACGGTTGTCAAGTGGTGGTGTCTCGACTCGAACGTCTTAACTTCCTGGTTCAAGCTACGACGCCCCCAAACGGCTTCCACGGCGAGCCGTGACCTGATCCCGCAAAGTCACAGCTGGCAAGGCACCCAACCCACCCAAAAGCGAGCCGGTCGCGGAGATCCGACGAAAGAGATGGGACCTAGGCGTAAGGCAACCAACGGTACGGTAGGTGTGTGGCAGCACACCAGGTTACCTACGTCACGTTCCTTGTTTGTTGTTGTCGTTGCTGACGGAGTTTGCGTGCCCACAGCCTTGCTTGCTTGCTTGCGCCGCACGGCTAGCGCAGAAGGCGGCGCCATGGCAACCGAATCCACCGGAAGCCGGTCCTGCTGGTCGTCTCTCCGTACTTGTCTCCGATGGAAACCGGGAAGACGGGGGAGGTTTCGAGGTGTGCGCACGCCAGCGATAGCCGGTTGGCCAGCAAGCAGGCCAGGTGCGCAAGCTAAGGATACGGTGCCCAGTCCCTTCCTTTGTCGCCGTCCGTTCCGCAGCTGGACACCCGCAGCAGAACAGAGTGTGTGTAGAACGTGCGTCTTCATGGACCAGGCGTTCAGATACGCCCACCAGCATCTCCGACGCACGGACGCACACACGCACGCTGCGCTCTTCAGCCGCAACGTAACCGGCCCGCATGCCGCACGTCCTGCTGTATGTAGGTCGATGTGCTGTCGATCCCTCGTTTGCGTCCTATCTCCCCCGCTTTCCACCTCATGTGTGGCTTCCCACTCTTACTCCAATTCATCGAGCAGGCCTAACTAGGGCTCATCTAAGAAGGATGGGTGGCTATTTCCGTCGCTCCCCGCCTCTCGCCTCTGAGCCACAGCCGTTTTGGTACGGTCATGGGGCGCGGCAAGCTAAGGTCGAGGCTAGCGGCCCGGTTCCTATCCAATCAAGGATTGGCAGTTTAAGAGCTTGCGACCGGTATGCTCGCAATTTAGTCGGAGTCATGGCTAGGCCAGGGCGCCTCAATCGACTCCGGGCAAGCGATGAGGGTTCCATGAGAATCCTCCGGCGGTGCCTGCGAATCACGCACAAACGGAGCGCGCCGCCGGACCTCCTCTGCGTATGAGAGAGGCTCTCTGCTGGCCGTCCAAGGCAAGCTACGGCGGTGATCAGTCCTACCTCTGCCTCCTCGCCAGCAGCCTGTCGTCACCACCTTTCTCTCTCTCTCTCGATCGGCAAGGTCGAGCTTGCTGCTTGCGGGCAGGGCGTCTGGCGAGATGTCCGCCGCCGCTGCACCACGCTGCTTGCTGTCAGGGGACAAGCACATGTGCAAGCAAAGCAAGGCAAGCACCCCCTCGTACGTCCCTCTCACGTTGGACGAGATGCAGATCTCAGGGGGCCAGGGGCTCGGACGTCACACGCCCGACATACTTGGAAAACAGTGTCCAGCCCATCCTAGCCGTGCGCCCGCAGACGATGCGATGTGCTGGGTAGGCAGGTACATCGAGGTACCTGGGTACCGGTATGCTGGGCGTCACTAGGTACTCTTTCGTCCCTTGGTTCTGGCAACTGCCGCAGCGGCACTGACGCGGCCGAGGGGTCTGGCAGGCCAGCCTGCTCGCACGCTGTGGAGCAGACCGGCCCGCTACAGATGGCTCACGCCTTGACCGGGGCGCTGCCTCGGAACGTTCTGCGAGCGCTGCCGCAGCAGCTGCGACCAGAATGGCCCCAGAGAACAATACGGGCAGGGCTCTGAATGGGGCCGAGTGCAAGGCGCCCCTAGGCAAGGCTTTGCCGCACGAGGCCAGGTCAATTGCGAATTCACACAACACGGGGTCCCCAGCAGACGAGCAGGCGATGCGGAAGCGAGAGGGGAGTGGCGAGTCAGACTCGCCACCACATACAGTACATCATGTAGCTGCTGCTGCTGCCTGCGCCGCTACGAACCAATTTAACAGGCTGAGCTCGTGTTGATCTACGGGCGGACGTCGTGTGGCTTGCGACGGTACATACGCTACGGCGATCGTCGGCGCACCACCACGTCCACTGGGGCTGCCTTACGGTTTGACCAGGTCAAGGGGCCGAGGAGCGAGGACCGGGCAGGGTTATCCTGCCGAGCTGACAGTGCCTTACCTAGCTGTACCTAGCGAGGAGGTGAATTTGGCTGCGCCCAACCCCTCTCTGACCGACGTTCGGCAAAACCGAGGTCAGTGGAGCGACCGAGCGAGCCAACCAGCAAGCTAAGCAGGGCAGGCTCAGCTCGTCACGCTCGCCACGTTTGACGAGGGGTAACGGATCAGCCGTGCGTGCGGCTGGGTCGCTTGCTTGCTTGCTTGCTTGCCGCCCCATATGCACCCGCACATGCACGTGGGCGTGCAGGCGATCCTGCAAAACACCGACCGACGCACGGCGCCAAGGCCTCGCAAGCCGGCCTGGCAAGCACACCAGCAGCAAAGAAGCCAGCCAAGAAGAGGTGCCCACCTACCCGCTCGCCTGTCTCATCATCTTCCCAGCCTTAGCTTGATTGGCCTGTCTTGACTCTTTGCCACCACCACCACGCGCTATCTCCCCTCGCCACCACCCCGACCCGTCACGCTCACCCAGGCACGGCGTCTTCCGTGTAGGCACCGCAGTACCTACAGTAGCCTGGCCTGGCCTGGCCTGTAGCTGCCTGTACGCCTGGCTGCCTCCTGCTTGCGTGGCCGGCATTGCTGGTCTCGGCAGTCGACGACCCCGCAGCGGCCCAATGAGCCGCGCTGCTGCCCAGGACTAAGACAAGCAGGGCGATCGAGGCGAGCTCAAGCTCGCTCGCTCGCTCGCCCGCCCTTCTCCAGTGATCTGGAACGGCCAAGAGCTCCAAGACGTCTGTGGACCCATCGCATATCGACATCGTCGCTCTACGGCGACTTACAGTAGCTTCTTGGCTTGCCTTGACGCCGCCACATCTTTCGAGCCAATCACTGAGCCCCCTTTGCTACGCAGCCTCGTCGATAAAATGGGCGAGTTCCGAGCGACACCGTCCATCGCTTGCGCTTGATCTTTGCCACGAGACGGATCGTCCACGCCGAGACTCCACGGACTCATCGGCGATGACCTCGCACATGGTCGTCTGTGCCGGTCGCCAAGCACACTGCGCCGAGCGCCCACTCTGACATGGCCCTGCCCGATCGACATCCGCAGCCTAGCCTGCTGTGCTTGCTTTTCGAGGGCGTGACACATGCTCGCCTCGTCTTGCAGACAACCTCGGACGTCTGGCAGCCGGCCGCCGTCAGGGAGCTGCCGTGCGTGCTCAGCCGCGATCTTTGCGGTCATGCCCCACAGGACCCTGCCTGCCCGGTGGTTGCGAGACGGTCACCCCGGCGCCGCATCCGCACGAGGACGAGGACGGGGAAACATCGATCATGCCGACCGGCCGCCGACAACGCCCTAGCCTGCCTGCTCGCTTGCCTGCCTGCCCACCTGCGCCGTAACCTCCAGCGATGGCTCAACACCTTGTCCCGCCCCGGTCCCCGGAAGCACAGTCGCAGTACGGGAGGGTTCCGCAGCATCGGGTTATTCACAACGAGCGCGGCAAGGCACGCTGTGCAGGTCCTCGCCATACGAGCTAGGGCTAGACGCGACGTGGCCTCCTGGGCACGCATCGGCGACAACCGCAGCAGCAGATGGTGCTTTGCCGGTTCCTGGCGGGTACGCCTTGGCCCCCATCCGATTTGCCGTGAGTGGTTCGTCCCGTATCGCCAGCACCACGGACGACGATTGACGATGTCCCACCGATACAGGCTAGTGTGCTACCTTTTGCCTTGAATCACACACTACCCCCTTCGCTCGGGTCTCACCCATTCATCGTGTGCACAGTGGTGTGTAATTGGTCGCCGATCTCGATCGGCGGAGCCCTGTGATCGGTTCTGGTACTCACACGCCTGACCCTGTCCGTGGTGCGGCGTGCCATTGGAGACAGCTGTCGCAGGCACGACCCAACGCCCACCACTGCGGTGCTTGGCAAGCGGCGTCGACGGTGAGGGGATGCACGCTCGGGGTTGCCGCGGCAGCATGACGGTCTCGCTGCACACGGGCCCCATACATATGTTCCGACTCGGTCGAGCCGCCCGCTTCGGACCAGGCGGTGCCATCATTGTGCTCGGCCTGTCAGCCTTTGGGTCGGTCCCGTCTGCGGCATTCATGAGCGGTGGCAGTACGTGTCAGCTCAATCCGTCTATCTGCTCATTGAGCGCTGACCGCCTACCGCTCGGATCGCAAGCGGCGCCACGCCCTTGAGCGAAAACCCACACATGCCCGACAGCGGGACGAAGGAGCGGGCTGGCGGGAAGTTGTCACAGATTCGTCTATGGGCCTGTGGATTTCCGGTCCTGGGTTCATGACAAGCACGTAGAGAGCAGAAGTGATAAAGCAAGGTATTGCCCCCTTGGGCTGAGGCGGTCATCGTACGGAGCTAAACTCACTCTCCAGCTGATAGCGAGCGAGCGAGTTCACGTCGTTCGGCGAGCGCCGGCCCCCCACGTTACGTCGGTTCGGGCCGAGATCGAGGGTCGCTTCTTGCGCCCTGCCCAGAGTAGCCTCGGCGAGGGCAGCCCGGCCAGCCAGCCGGCCGGCCAAGATGCTGGGCGTAAAACTGCCGACCGACGACGCCGACGCCGCCCCGCTAGTGCGCTCCTGGCGAGACACCGCGTTTCAGGGTGCGCCAGCAGCTGCCGGTACACGAGCAGGCCAGGCTAGGGTGGAAAGAAACCCTGGCCTGGCCTGCCTGCCTGCCTGCCTGCCTGCCTGCCTGGGCTCGCAGCCCTCGAGGTCACCAGCCTGCGTGAGCAACTTTTTGCCCGCCGCCGGGTGAAACGAGGCACGCCCGCTACAGCGGAACGGCACGGCACGGCCGGCCGGCCGGTTGGGTCTGCTCGAGCAAGCAAGAAACGTCACGAGGCCGACCGTTGCCTCATCTCGACCCGATCATGTACGGCGCAGACCAGCGAGACCGGCGTTGAGTAGGCCGCGCGCACCATCGCCACCATAGGCGGAGAACGACCGACGCTCTCAACGGTCAGCCTCGCCGTCAACTGGCTCTCTCGCCGATCATTTCACTTGCTCCAGGCAGGTGTGGGTGGCACGCGCGACGGGCAGCCATGAAGATGTACAGTTAGAGGGCGTTTGCAGATACAGTGGCCTGTGGCTTCTGGGGTTTCTCATGCTGAACTCGTCCCCCGACGATCCTGTACGGCGATGTTTGCCACCTGCTGCTGCTGCTGCTGCTGCTGCGCCTACGTACGACGACAGACAAGCTAGGGCGAGGCGAGGATGACTGCGTGTTTAGCCGTCCAAGCGGGGTTCGCCTGGCGACGCGCGAGGCTTCGGCTCGAGGGCTGCAGCACCTTGAGCGCAGCGCTTGCTTGCTGCCTGTTGACGGGGGCGGGTCCGCTGCTGGCCTGACCTGCGTCGCCGCCGGAGCCCCCCTCTGGAGCTTGCTTTTGACAAGCATCGATCCATCACCAGGTGGCTGGTGGCGAGCTCCGCCTAGCGTGCGCGAGAATCAAATAACGGAACACCCCCCAGGCGCCCTATGTACTGCGACCGTCCCCCGCAAACGACATCACCTGGCGCGCCCAGTTGTCCTTGATGACCCTGCCTATGCTGGGTATGTACCGGTTCTTGCACCGGTAGCCTGGCCTACCTGCTTGCTTCCCGCTCGTGGAGGGGGTCGGGTAACCACGCACCTCGCCGGCCGTCTTCGCCGCGCTGCCCGCGTGCCTCGCCCGCACACCTCACTCAGCCTCCTGCAGACGGGCAGGCGCCGGGGGCGGTCCGAGGAAGTCGTATCGGCGCGGTGCGTGCGGTTTCGCTCGAGGCGCGCTGCGCTGCGTGGCCGTTGCCTTCCAAAGCGCCGTCTAGCGTTGATTTTCCAACGCCCGCGCATGGAGCGAGGCCCCTTTGTCCCGGCGCTCGCCGCCTGCCCGGCTGCTTGCCTGCTCAACGACTCTCTCTCGCTCGCTCGCTCGCTCGCACGCCCGCTCGCCCATCACCCTGATCTGGGATGCTTGGATGCATGCTTGCTTGCTTAGCTTTGTGTTGTCCGGCAGGCCGCCGTCGTCCCGCCCCGCGTTTGAGTTGCCCACCTCGGATGGGCGCCGTCCTATTCTCCTGCTGCCGCTGCTGCTGCTCTTGCTGCTGCTGCTGCTGCCGCTACAAGCCCGCGGCTCCCTCCGCTCGCAACGAGGTGCAGCTCTGCGTCAAGCTCGCTGCTCGACGGGCCCTTCCTTCGTCACGCCGCCGCCGCCGCCGCCACCGCCGCCTCCGCTTCCTGGGTGCAGCCAGGCCCACCTCTGGGCCCGCTCGCTCGCTCGCTCTCAGCCACCTCGACCTAACCCCGCTGCCCCAAGTGGCCGCCGCCACGCTCCGTCTCGACCTCGCCTCAGCCTCTAATGGCTCCCGCTCCGTCCTCTTTCCCTCTTCCCCTCACACTCTTCAACCCCATCATCCCCATCATCCCCATCATCCTCACCATCACCTCCGCCGCCCTCATCGACCCCCTCTCGATCCTCTGCCGCCTGCTTATCGCCTACAGAGAGCATCATCCCGCTATACCTTCACTCGCCTTTGCCCAGTACGCCGTTGGCAGCTCACGACACCGCCGTCTCCACTCGCCTCGCCACTGCCTGGGCACTGCCTGCATCTCCCCCGCACCTGGAGGACGGACCCCTGCGCACCGGAATCGACCACGACACGGCTCAGCCAGCAGCATCTCCTTTGCTAACGTTCGAGGCTCGCCGATTCGACCTTGGGCTATCCGGCTCTAGATACATCGTCGCTGCCCCTGCGCTCTCCCCCACGCGCCTTCGACCTTCATTGTGCTTCTGCTTGTCGCCAGCCGACGCCCTTTGCTTGCATCGCACTCGCCACCCGACTGACGGCGGCGCTTCATACCCGACCTTGCCGCCGACCTGACCGAGCTCCTGCAGAGTCGTCAAACCGGCTGTTATCCAGGTCGTCACCCTGCGACTCGACAGATCACGGGCACGCCGCTACTTTCACCAAACCCGCCGAGCGAGACGAAAATCGACGGCGACCTCCGAGTGACGCAGCCTTCTTGCACTGTTCGCTCTCGCAGTAGCCTCTCTTTCGACCATCGCTGTTCTCGATCCTTCATCTCGACCAATCCATCTGCTCCTTCCGACGCCTCGACCAGGCCTGGACGGACAGCCTCCTTGCGACTGCACGTCCGCGCTGCGAACCCGACCTCTTGTACAGCGTCGCTGCCCGCTCGAACGGACAAACAAGCCTCGCCGACATCGGCTGCCCCGCTCGTCGGGACCACAGGGTGCGGAGCATGTCGTTAAAGTTCCTCTCCCGCTTGCGGGACAAGGAGAGGTCGCCTGCCAAGCCGAAACCGCTTCCGCCACTGCCATCACCCATCATGGCGCCAAGAACGGGCACCGAGATCGACATTTCAGAAATTCAAGTCATCTGTTGGGACGCCGAATCCACGAAGCGCGACTCGTCCACAGCAAAAGCTCGCGTCCAGGATGCGATCGCTTCAGAAAGCCCAAAGACGCCCCTCTACGAGGCCTTCACCCAGAACAGAGGGAGCAGCTCCTCGTCCTCAGCAGAGGCGGGCCCCAGCAGGCAGCCCTCGAACCCGCAGCTCGCTACGACTACCTCTGTGCTCGACCGCCCGAGGGTCATCTCGACCCGTCTTGAACCAGAGGTCCCACCGCGCATCCACTCCAAGCCCTCGACCTCGACCCTGGACACCCGTGAGGAGCTCCGATCGCCCGAGACCGAAGCTTCGCCCACAAAAAAGGCCGGTCCGTCTCTTACGAAGCGGAAGCCGGCCTCGTCGAGGCAGGCCAGGCCAACGACGGCGGGCGAGCCATCCTCCAAGGCATTCTACCGCACCGACACCATGCAATCAGTCGGCAGCGTAGTCTCTCTGACCAGCGTCGTGGACGACGTCGAACACATTGGCGCCGGATCCAAGGCACGAAAAGGCTCGTTCGGTCTGGCCAAGAAGGCGTCGATGCACTTCTTCCGCAAGGCCAAGTCGCCGTCGACGGCGGACGCGAGGGGCTCGTCGGAATCTTCGGGCGGCTCGCACGAGGATCATCAGCCGCACCTGGCAAGGAGGAGCCGGAGCTCCTCGATGACCTCGCTCTCGTCGGCCGTCTTCAACCTTCGCACCAAGGAGAAGCCGCCAAGCCTTCCGATCTCCCACCACGGCCTCACCGGCGGCTCTGTCGGCCGCCACGTTGGCGAGAACCGCCCGCCAACTTCGTGGAAGCCCGCGTCGGCCTCGACCGAGACGAGCCCTCAGATTCCCTCGCTGGCCTATGCGTCCGAGACGGAGCTGAGCGGGAGCAAGGAGCAGGCAGACGGGAAGCCGCAAAGGTCCAAGGCCAGGAGCGCCATTGCCCGGGCTCGCAGCATCAAGAAGGCAGCATCATCGCATCGGGCCAAGAGCGGATCTGAAGGCTCGACCGCCACGAGTCCGACCGTGTCTGAGACGGCGGCTGGTACGTTTTCCTCCATCGCAACCGCGCCAGCGCAAAGCTTTGCGTCAAACGAAAAGGAGGTGCTCGCGGAGCGGGCCGTCACCGTCAGCTCTCCTGGGCTGCCGACCGTCTCGCTGCCCGGATCGACCTCGTCGAACGAAGCGCAGCAGCAATCGCTCAACGGGCTCATGGCGACCAAGCTGTTCCAGCAGCTCGGTCCTCCTCCCTCTGGGCTGGATGCGTCGGCGTTCGAGAGGCGCGTCGAGATTGTGCTCGAGTACATCGACAGCCGTTGCGCGATCGCGGCGGAGCTGGCAAAGAAGCCGCACTCGCCCACCAGCCCGCGCAGCAGCCTCCCTCCTCCCAGCCGACAGCCAATCCTCCGACGCGGACTGTCGGTTGCCTCGACCGAGGACGAGTTCGACAAGATTGAATGCCAGTTCGAGCAGGAGATGCTGCAGATGCTTGCTCGCGGAGCCTGCGAGAGATCCGTGAGTGTGGCTCCGAACGAGATCGCATGCGCCGAATTGATGTGCGCTGCGGTACTGACCGGCGCCCTGTGCCCTCCCGTGTCCTCTTTTACCTGGCGGAACCTGCAGAGCGTCGAAGAGCTGAAGCTCGACGCCGTCTTCCTCGAGGCCCGCCGCCGAACCGGAGTCGGCCACGCCCGCACTCATTTCCAGCTCTTCTCCGACAGCACCTCGACCGCCAGCCCGCTCTTGACCCCGGATGGTCGAGGATGGGCCAACGGCGCTGGTCTCGGCACCTCGCCGCGGATGACATCGTCGGGCGTCGGCGCTGCCCTGCACGGCGACACGTTGACCGGTCTGGCGATGCCGCTACGTCCGGCTCCGAGGCGTAGGAAGCGGCCGACGACGGCACCCGAAACCCAGGGGCCGGTGCCCGGGTTCGGCCACCTGCCACCTTCGCCGCCTGCCCCGCAGTTCGGGGGCGCGGCGTCTGGCACCCTGTCTGCGTTTGCTGGCACTTCGCACTTCCCGCGTTCTCCCGCGCCCAGCTTCCAGTCGATGCAAGCCTCGGACGATTCGCACGACTACGCCTCGAGGGATGGGCACGGTCTGGGCTTCGAAATTGTGCGACCTGGCGGCTGGACGCACGATGCGGACGGCAAGACGCCTGCGGGTCTCTTCACTCCCCAGTCGTTCAGCGCGAGATCGCCACCTTCGGCGCCGCTGTCGCACGACCACCACTCTTCTCGCAGCAGCCAGGGGCACGGAGGACGCGGCTCGGGGTCCCTGCAGTCGAGCGTGCCACCGCCGTCGCTCTACGGCAGCGGCAGCGGCAGCGGCACCGTGGGCACCTATCCGAGCTTCTACCGACGAGGCTCGAGCGACCGCGACAGCAGCAGCAGCCACACGACACGGAGCGTGCGCTCGCCCATGACGACGACGATGAGCTACGGGCGGTGGAGCAGCCGGCTGAGCGCGGGTACGCGCAACTCGCAGGACACCAATGAGACCGCCGACACGACCGAGTCGACGCTGGCGGGGGGCAGCAGCCACGTCTCAGCAGCCGAGCCGATGGCGCTGTGCGGAATCGAGAAGGCAGCCTACAGGATGCCGCAGGGCAGCGTTGCAAGCTAGCCGGTCCCCGGCTCCCTCGTGCATTGTGCCTTCCACTGCCCTGCCCCGTCCCGCCCCTCCGACGCCGAAGGGGCCTCGAGGTTGGCGACGTGCCACCGCTCGCTCATCAACGCTATCCGAACGCGGTGCGAGCACCGAGACTCGCCTCTTTGCCAGCTGTATAATGATACCACCTGGGCCGGCTGCGCCTGTCGGCCCCTGCCTCTCTTTACCCCTCGTGCCCTCTGTATCATCCACGATTCGCCGCCGATACCACGCTTCCACGGAGCGAGCCGAGCCCAGCTCGAGATCCCTCTTTTCAAACCTGCTGGGTGCTAGCAGAGTGGCTGCCTTGGATTGAGAGGGTGGGCAGCAGATGACTATGGCCCGAGGCGCTCGCTGGCTGAGCGCGCCGGGCGAGGAGATCGAGCCAAGGTCTGGCTTGGCCTGGCCGAGTCAGGCGTGGCCCAACTTGGCCGGGCGTGCCGCAGGGGCCACGCCAAGAGTGAGCGAGCAGGCAGAAAAGGCAGCGCAAGCGTGCATGTGGAGTTGCGGCGGCCGGCCTTGCTTGGCCTTCCTGGCCTGCTGGCGGGTCGAGCCAGCCAGGGGGGAAGACGTTGGAGCTGGCCTGGCCTGGCCTGGCCAGACGAGGGGCCGTCAGGGTCCGCCAGCCCCTCCCTCGCAGGTCGATGCTTGCTGCGCTTCTGTCTCTGCCCTCTCCTCTCTCTCCCCCTTTCCTCCACCACCACCACCATCACACTAGCAGTCGCTCGTCCCGTCTCGGTCCCGCCCCAGCATCCCTGCTGCTATAGCCCACTTGCCCCCTAAGCAGCTAGACGATTCACGCTCAGTCACTCGCCCGCTTCATCGCCTCGCCCACGCCGCTCCACGTCACCCGGCCACGTCATTGTCCACCCCGCGCCGCGCCCTAGTCTAGACACCATCCTCATACCCTCGGTCTCGTCGCGACACATCCTCCACGTCTCCATTGCAGCTATGCCATCCAGGCACCCTCCCATACCCTCCATCTTCTCCAAAGTACCGTCCTCTTCCTCGTCCAGCGCACGCTCCAGCCCGCACAACGCCTCTCCCGTCTCCCTAGCTCCCGTCCGCCCTCTTTCGATAGCCGAGCTGGCCGACAAGGCCAACCAGGCCAGCGATGCGCTCCCATTCAGCCCCGCCATTCCCATACGCCGCTACCTCAACGGCGCCAACACCCTACGCAGGCAGGCCGCCGTCTACAACCGCGAGGGCGACAGAGAGTCGGAGTTCGTCTGCCTCGTCAAGTGCGCCCGGCTCCTCATCGAGCTCCTCCCCAGCAGCCACCCGCAGTACAAGTCGCTCGACCCAGAGACGCGCGCCGCCGTCAAAAGAGACGGCCAGGAACTCCTCGACGCCATCTCGGACGCAAAGTCGGCCCTCGCCAACAGGTACGAGGCCTGGAACGCCCTCGATCCCGAAGCAAAGGCCGCATACAGGCAGGCCGGATCGGACCTCGGCGGCGGTGGCGGCAGCAGCCGGTCGAGAGCCGACTCGAGGAGCTCTAGGGAAGGCTCTGCGACGTCCAACTCGACTCCAAAGCCCTCGTCAGCATCGAATGCGCCTCCACCGCCATCGCCACGGCGTTCGCACAGACCCGCCGCTTCCACATCCGCCCCTGCCTCTGCGAGGCCAAAAGAGGAGCCCAGCATCCCCTTCAAGAAACCGGACCGCGGAGACGATGGCTTCGACGTCCGCCGCATCCTTGGCTTTGGCAAGTCCTCGGCCGATGCTAGCGGCAGCAGGCAACGGTGGGTCACGATGCGCGGACATGAGCGGCAGCCCGAGAGACATGCTCGTTGCAACGCATAGCTGAACAGTCGACTTCTTCGCTTCCTCATCCTTTTTTTCGCCGGCTGATCAGGCGCGATGCCCCGGCCGAGATCCCCTACCAGCCTCCGACGGCATCCACAGCCTTTACCAGCTCTCCGCTCGACCCCTTCGTCCATCCGCACAGCAAGGCCAAGCCCAAGCCGGGCTCGAGCGGGTCCAAGAGGGCACCGGACATCAAGAACATCTCGTATCCGATACTCCAGTCCAAGCCAAGCTCACGGATGAGCATACATCAGACCCAGCAGGGCTTTGCGCCCAGCTCCAGCGCCACCGCAAGGTACTACCAGACGCTGCGGACCAGCGAGACGGCCAGTCAACCCGGCAGCGGGTCCGGCAGCAGCAGCGGCAGAGGCGACCACACCGGCCATGGCCATGGCACTACGGCCGCTATGCCTGACCCATGGACGCACCATTCCAGCATGCCCTTCCCCGTCCCAGGCGCCCCTGCCCTGCCACCACCTCCACCGCGGCCCACACCTCCTCCGCCTCCGCACGCATCCTACGCCCAGATGCCTGTGGCCCAGCCGACGGGCCCTGCGCCCCCCACCCTGCAGCCAAAGCCGCGCTCGTTGCGAGGACCGCTGCCGGCGGTGCCGGCGTATCCGCAGGGCATGCCGCTGCCGCAGGGCGTGTCGCGCGACGCTCACGGGCCGGCCATGCCGACGCTGACGCCGCACACGCCGCACACGCCGACGCCGTCGTCTTCGGCGGCTGCATCCAACGTGCTCGCGCAGGCGGTGCAGCAGATGACGCTGGGCACAGGGGGCCGCAGCCAGGCCCTGAGCCGCGAGGCCGCCTCGCTCCTCGCTGCCGCCGCCAAGCCCGAGCCAGACGAGCCGATCCGCTCCTACACCGAGGGCGGCCAGCCGCTGCGCAGCCTGCTGGTGCCCGAAGAGGTCATTGGGGCCTTCGTGGGCATGTCGGACCCCAACACGCGCGCCAACCTCGAGACGTGCGCGCTGCTCCAGGGCCGGCTGGAGCGCAACCGGTTCCGCGTGAGCCATCTCGTCTTCCCCCAGCAGACGGCCACGTCGGACAGCTGCACGACGAGCAACGAGGAGGAGATTATGGCGTTCCAGGAGGCCAACGACCTCATCACGCTCGGCTGGATCCACACTCACCCGACGCAGAGCTGCTTCCTCAGCAGCCTCGACCTGCACACGCACGCCGGCTACCAGATGATGCTGCCCGAGGCCATCGCCATTGTCTGCTCGCCCGCGCACGAGCCCAGCTTCGGCCTGTTTCGCCTGACGGACCCCACCGGCCTGCGCACCGTCGTCGACTGCCGGCAGCCCGGCCTCTTCCACCCGCACGTCGCCGAAGACGGCAGGGACCTGGCGCTCTACACCGATGCCATCTACGGCCATGTTGCCCTGATTGGCGGCATCGGCCTCGAGATTGTCGACCTGCGCAAGTAGCAGAGGTCGGCGGCGGTCGGCCGGCCCTCTCTCTCTCCGTCCCCTTTCTTCAGTGCTGGCGGCGGCCCTTCTTGCAGCTGCAGCGTACGACGTCGACCATCTTGGGCGGCGTCCTGGCCGCGATCTCCGGGAACGACGTCGACGCATCGAACGGCCGCATCCAGCGCATCGCCTTGATCACTGCGCGGAACGTGGGCAGCGAGACCTGCCCGACGACGCAGCGCTCCGACTCCTGCTCTTCGGCGTCGCTCGCGTCGCCCTTGTCGTCGTGGCCGCCGTAGCCGCCGTTCTCGGCATCGAGGCTGTCCCGGGCGGCGATGGACGCGGCCACGGCAGAGCGCTGCGGGTAGGCCATCGTCCTCTTGGCCTGGATCAGCGCCTGTCGCTGGACATGGGAGCGGATCCTCTCGGTCGTCTCGGCCAGGAGCACGCCGTGCGAGTAGATGCGGCATCGCACCGCTTCCGCGCCCATCTCGGCCATCCGTGCGGCCCGGTCGCTGCCATCGCTGTCGCCGTCGTCGCCGCTGTTGCCACCGCTGTTGCCGCCGCTGTCGCCACCGCTGCCGCCACCGTTGCCGCGGCCAGCGTCCGACAGGTACCGCAGTCCTTCTTGGCCCGGCCCGACGCTGTAGGCAAACTGGATGGCCAGCCCCCAGCCGGAGCACTTTCGCTTGCCCGTCAGCAGGCTGGTCAGCACCTTGATGTTGGGTACGACGGCCAGCTCGGGCGTGCACCACCGGCGCAGGAAAGGCCAGTAGACGTGCTCAAAGACGCGCTCGGCCCGGTCAAAGTCGAAGCGGGCATCGACCAGCACGGCGCCGAGGCTCGACTCGACGACGTCGGCGACGGCTTTCGGGTTGCGCGTCGTCCACCAGTACTGCCTCGGCTCGCCACCGCCGTTGCCGCCGCCGCCGCGACCGAGCTCGGCCCTGTCCTCTTCGGCGCGCCGCAGCTGGCGGACGGCGTCGGTGTAGGTCGAGACGGCCTCCTTGAGCGGCGCCGAGTGGCTGGCGATGAAGCTGGTCAGGTCGAGCACCTCGCACAGCGCCGAGAGCGTGGCGTTCGAGACCATGTTGCTCTTGAGCGCCGTCGCCTCGCCCTCGTCGAGATGCGGGTAGAGGCGGCGGATCTTGAGGATGACGCAGTAGTCGAGGAAGGCGTCTCCCAGGTACTCGAGGCGCTGGTACGAGGGCAACACCGAGGCGAGCAGCGACGGGTGAGTGAAGGCCTCGAGGGCGAGGTGCGGCGCGGCAAACGTGTAGTCGAACACCCGTTCGAGGTGCGACAGCGCCGACGTGTCGACGCGCGAGCGCCAGCTCGGGTCCGGCGGCGGCGAGAGGGCCGTCAGCTGCCCGTGGAACGACGACGGGCCGGCGATATCGTCGGGCAGGATGCCGATCGAGACGGCCGTCTGCAGCACGCCGGCGATGCCCGAGTGGACGAGCGAAGCGCCGAGCAGCGCCTCGACCATGTCGGACAGCGCCTTGCAGGGCACCACGTCCCGCGCCGCGACGGGCACGGCAGCGTCGACGTCAACGAGGCGCTGGGCCAGCGTCAGGTCGGCGTCGTCGGGCGTAGTCCGGATCGTCGGAAGTCCGGCGTCGTCGGCGGCGTTGTCGGCGGGACCTCCGGCACCGGCGTTGGCGGTCCGGATGCCAGGTG